GAATTATATCAAACCAAAATTTTCTTCTGCTTTATTAAGAAAGAGGTGTTAAGAAAAGTTGGGCTTTTTAAATGAAAAGTCAGTGAATTGTATTGGAATAGAAGACTATGGTACATCAGGACTTCTGTTCTCACTGCTCCTCTGCTACCAGTGATATTTCAAGCCTGTAAAAGGTGCCATTCCACAAAAGAAAAACACCACCTAACACTTTTATTCTGGGCTGGAATGAGAGACTTTCCATTTCCTTTCTCACTAGAGATACTGTTTCTTCAGTGTGAAGACATACCAGCCACAGGACAGGCCATCTTACCTCCCTAAAGAAGATGTCTGTATTCTGTGAACAACCCTCTACACAGCATTGCGCATCACTAAAAAAGAAGCTGTAGCGATCAGGTACCTCTTGGTGACACAGGGGCAGAAACCAGGTCTCCCCCACAGGAAAACCTCAGGTCAGCCTTTCCCACTGCCTCTCACAGTGCATGAAGTTTATATACTTTGTTACTCTGTCAGAAGCCAAAGATCTGGTTCTAAAACTCTTGTTGCACACCTAGAACATGGTATCCCCTGCTTCCATTTGTACTTCCATTAGGGGAAAAACATGAAGAGACTGAAAAATAACAGCAGTAGCCAGGGATAACAAGACCCCCACATCAAATCCTGCTGCTGATACAAAACCCCTGACAGATGAGTTAGAAGTTCTGCCAGACACGACTACCTAAAAAAGTTCTTCCTAAAAAGACTTTCATAGGTTTGAAGTTCAAATTTCAGTGTAGTCGCAGTTACACCACAACCTGGGGAGCTGCAGGTGAGCCATCTCCCATGTCACTCCAGTCTGTCCTGTGGGAGATCAGTTAACCCAGGTGCAGGGCAGGTAATACTTGGTTAACTGGGATCTGAATGCATTCAGAAAGTCCAAGAAAGAGCCAACACCTTCAAGACACTCATCTTGTCAACCCTCTGGAATACACTGCTCCTTTCTCAGCGACCTGAAGTAATGCAGTTGAAACCAGCCACTGAAGAGGAAGGAAATTAGTACAGCAATGGTGTTGCAGCAACCTGCTGATGCTCTGATAAATACTTCTGAAACTAAACCCTCTCATTTTAATCATTACTGCCCCATTTCTAGGTTTTAGGGAAAAGACCTGCAAGGTTCCAGGAACACTCTGCTCCCAGACAAGTTTAGAGAAAGGAGGCGGATTAGGTCTTACCTTGAAAAGACAGATGATAGGAGCCATAATGCCTCCTCATGAACTACTGTGTCAGCAAAACTAGCTGTGTGCAGTGACAGACAACACTTTGGTTTAACTGCCAGATGAGCAAACAACACATAACTAACTCTGAGCTCCTCCAAATGAGGTTACTGACACACTGCCGGTAAGGGGAATGCTGTATCAATATTGATATGAGACCTCCTAAATCAAGGAGTAAAAGCACACTCAACTAGAGTACAGAATGAAGGGCTCATATGCACCAGCAAATATCCGTTCTTACTATAAAACCAGAGCTCTCAAGCTGATTACTGCAATGCTAATGAAGATAAAACATTAATCCTTTAAGGAAGAAGAAAGTAGGACCTGCAACTCGCTCAACACTGAGCGAAGCCGGAAGAGGAAGGAAAAAGAAAGCAAAACAAGGCAGTGACCTGAAACGAAGCCAATTAGACCCAGCACAAACAACATAACAAGGAGTTCAGCCCCACCACCAGCCCATGCCGGCACAAAGCCCCCCAGCCTCACACTGGTCACTGCTCACGTTACGCCGTCACTCCCGCCCGAGCTAACATCGGTTCGGACACACCACCGAGACCCCGAGGGGCCGCCGCTAGCGGCCTCTCCCGCTCCCCCCGGCCGGCTCTTACCGCCTTTGGGCTTAGACTCTCCCGCGGCGGGCCCGGCCGAGGCGGACCGCGGCTGCTGCCCTTTGCTGCCGGCCGAGGAGCCGGGCGCACCGGAGCCGCAGGGGCTGCTCTTGTCCATGGCAGAGGCTGCGGCGGGGGTCGCGCCGGGCGAGCTCTGCAGCATCAACGGGCGCCGCGGGGGGAAAGAGGCGGCCCCGGGCGGGGGTACAGGACGGGCGCTGGCGGAGCCGGCGGGGGCCCAGGCTCATGGCCCGCGGGGGCGACCGGCGGGGGCGGCGCAGAGCGGACTCGGCTTCCTTCATGGCGACATCTTCTCGCTGCTCCGCTCGAACCGGAGGAAGGCCGCGGGAGGCCGAGCCGGGCCTGCGGGGCTCCGGGCGACGAGGAAAGAGACGCTGCTCACGGAGCCCCGCGGGGCCCGGCTCTCCCTGCCGCCCGAGTGGTCGGCACCACCCAGGCACCCACCGGCTCCTCAGCGCCTTCCCGGCCCCGGCTTGGCCGCCGCTGCCCCGTAATGGCGACGAGTCGCCCTCAGCAGTGGCCGGGACCCGGATGGAGCCGATCCCGGGCGGGCCCGCGGGCACGACGGGACGCGTAGTCCTCGGCCGCCGCGGAGCACGACGGGAAATGGAGGCCCCGGGACTCAGAGCGCCCTCTGCCGGTAGCAGCCCCACAATGCCCGGCCCCGAGCACCCCCTGCGAGCGCCAGGCACCGAGCCGCTGCGGGCGGCGGGCGGCCAGAAACAACGTCCTGGGGCCGGGGGGATCCAGTCTTTCACTTTCCAAAGCGGAAACGACCAAAGCACACATTGTTAGAGGCCCGGAGCAGGAAGAGCTGAACACCGTCAGTTCTTCAGCAGGTAGGAACAGACAGTCCTGGGGGCTCAGCTTGTGACCAAAGAGGCCTGAGAGGATATAAGAAACCGAGTATTTCCACTGAATTGCTCAAGTAACTCTGAAAGGCGCAAACCCGCTCTGCAATGCCTAATTCAAGTGATCTTTAACTTCAAAGCAAAAGAAAAGAGGAAAAAACACAAGGCAACAAATTCTATCGGCATTTCAGTTAACCCTTAAAATAAGGCTTGGGTGCCCCGGCTGATCCCTTTCCCCTTATTTTAGGGATGAGGGCCTCAAGTTCACTGGGAGAGGAGTTGCAGGTTTTTTATACCAAGTCAGGGTGCAGTATGAAATAGCAGAGCTCATATTTCAGGAGAAGTCCCACAAAATGCCTTACTTTAACTCCTGTCTGTTCCCTAATTAGGTCTATTACTCTTAGAATTACTGACCAAATCATGAGGATTGTTATTACAGTGCTTAGATATTTTGCATTTGAGAAAACAAACTTTCTAACAAACTCAGTCATCCACATTTGCAGGGAAATATGAAAATAGCACAGGCAGGACTAGAAAAAGAGGTCAGATGGCCATAAAACTTCCAAAGGCAGGATGCAAGACTTTTATTAGCAAAGAAGTTGGCTGTGGAAAGAAAACAAATACAAAGAAGTTTAGGTTTGGCTTTTTTTCTGCTATTCTTTCTTTAACTACAATAAAAACATCAACCATGGCAGCAAAATCCATCCCATTGTGCTTGGTGGCCAGAATCTGCTTCCTGGGGAAGGCTGAAGGCACGAGGCTTTGCGTTGTTAGCACACAACTGATTAACTGAGGTGAGAGAGTCAGTCTGTGGCTCTGAGCACCATCAGGAGCAGACCAGTAACAGGACCTGATCAGAAAGAGATGGGGTGACTGGTCTGCTGTGTCACAGCTGTGAACGTTCCTTCCCACAGCACGCAGCCAAGTAGGACTGTATTTCCTGACAAATTCCAGCAGGAGACACCACCAGGAAATGAGCACTACTGCCCAAATGCTGTCATTGGGAGCAGAGGAAAGGAGTTAAATAGAAGGAATCGTGAAAGAGAACTGGAAAAGTGCATGTTGACAAGAACATGAAGACACCAGTCTGCAGCTGAAATCTGAATGGATTATCTAGTGTCCACAGAACTTACTATTCTCGCACTACTTACCCACCAACATCTTTCCTTGGTTTTTGAAGTCCATATAGCACTCAGGAGGAGGGCTTTAGGAGCAAACACTTATCCTCATTATATAAGCTGCAATGTTACACTCAAGCACAGCATTCCTACAGAGACTGAATGGCACACTCCACAGCACCTTGCTGCATCTCTTCTGACATGCCTGTATCCCTTACCACAGCTGTCTGATCACCCATAGGTACCTGTAATAAACAAAGGAAAGCGTTCAGAGCTGCTGCAGTGCCTACCTGCCAAGTAGCTGTACACATTTGTATCATGGCTGGCAACAGGTTTGCTGCCGCCATTTCTGCCGGCTGTGGCACAGGCGCAGCCCGTGCTCCGCGCCAGAGGAAGGGGGGTTTAAACCCTCACTTGGAGCACCCGCTCCCCAGCCGGGAGCCCCGCAATTGCCGCCGGAGCGGTTTCAAACCCCGCCTGTCCATCCCCAGCTCCTCTCCAGCCCGGCAGTCCCTGGAGAGGGCGCAGCTGCTCCAGCGCCCAGCCCCGACGGCCTTTCCCTGACGAGGAAAGCGAACGGAGGCCGGAGCCCCGCACCAAGGGCCCGGAGCCCCTCTCGACGACGGTTTAACAGCCCCGAGTGTGCCGCGGTCTCCTTAGGGTATCCCCAGCCGCGCCCCCCGGGCCGGCCCACAGCAGAGACCAGCTCATACCGCCTTCGGGCTCGCCTTGCCCCTCAATGGGCCCGGTCGAGGGGGATCGCGACTCCTGCCCTTCGCCACCCGGCGCACCGGAGCCGCAGGGGAGACTCCCGTCCATGGCGGAGACCCCCACAACGGCGACAAGACCCCCGCGGCACGGGCTGGGACCCGGATGGAGCCGGTCCCGGGCGGGCCCGCGGGCACGACGGGACGCGTAGTCTTTGGCCGCCGCGGAGCACGACGGGAGATGGAGGCCCCGGGACGCAGAGCGCCCTCCTGCAACCGCCCCCGGCCCCGGGCCCCGAGCCCCGGCCGGGCGGCAGGAAGGGCTCTGCCACCCCCCCGGCCTCCGACAGCGCTCCTCTTGTCAGCGCCGCACGGGGCGGAGGGACCGGCAGCAACGACCCGAGCAAGCCACCCACCCTGCCCAAGGCAGCCAGAAACAACATCGTGGGGGCCAGGCGGATCTAGTCTTTTATTTTCCAAAGCACTTCTCTGAGGCACCAGCAGAAACAGCCCAGGCCCTGGGGCAGCACATCCAGCCACACAGGAGGGGAAACCACCAAAAACCACCTCGGAAGAAGAGGATTGTGACAGGAAGAACTAAACGCTCTCTGTACTTACATAGCACAAGTGGTAACTGGGCAATACTGTAGACTGCTAGAAAACTCTCCAAGGCAAAACTGCTCCAACAGCTCTACTAGCAAAGAAGCAGCCTTTGGGGAAAAAAAAATATAAAAAAAAAAAATCATGGAAGACTTTTTTTGGTATTTTTTCCTTTTTTATATCCACAATGTAATATCATCTGCTATAGCATAATCCCTGCCTTTGCCCTTGAAGATCAAGGTCTGCGTCCTCAGGAAGGCTGCAGTAACTAGTCAGAGGAATCTGCACAGTCCTGTAACCAGATGCGAGGTTCAGTAACAGTCCGTGGGTCTAACCAGACTTGAACAGAAGAATAGCCACTTGGCCGAGGTAGAAGTAGATGAAGTGCTTGGTCTCATGAGTCACGTAGCTGCCGAAGTTCCTCCCCACGATGCAGTGCCAGGTGGGATTGTATTTCTTGTCAAACTCCTGCAATATAGATCACTAGAAATTAAGAACTCTTCTAAACTGGTATTCACTCTCTGAGCAAGGCAATTAGAGGAAGAGCAGATGCTCTTAAACACTAGGATTATCTTATTTACATCTTACTGCTTAGTCAGACAAAAACAAAAGAGACACAGTGCTTCCCACCCGAAGCAGCAGTAAGTTTAAAACGTTATTTCTGTGAAGGGAAAGAAAGTCTTCCTCTCCCTGCAATTCACAGCAGCGTCTGAAACTAGAGCCCTTGAGTAAAAGCTTCAACACTATAGTTTATACCCGCAGAGATTAAGCCGTAATTTAGACCTCATTGTTCATCTGCCAAAGGGATGTGATGGAAAATTCTCTGCCACATGCTCTGTAACACAGATACGATCAACAAATCTGAGAACGAGTGGTTTACTCCTGTCAAATCCTTTGCAACTTCACAGTAGCTGCTACAAAGAATACCTGAAAAATTAGACTAAACTCTCTTTTCCACTGTCACAGATAATTCCTGCATTTGGGAAATAAAATAAAAGATGCCTTTCTCAACTGTGGGCATAGCAAACCAGTATTCTCTAGTGGAAAGAATCATTCTGCTTACTGGAAATACTTTTTATGTTCAAGAAGCTTGTCTGCCCTACATATCCTGAAGCAGAGCCTCAGGCTTTAAGTCCAATGAGATAATTTGAGTGGTACCACAGTATAAGCAACTCGAGCTGGGTACCTCCAGAGAACGACCCCAAAGGAATTCCTGGGAAATTACACCCTCACAGTTGCCGTTCCTCACCCCTCACATATAAGTTTAGAGCAATAATAATATTAGGGTCTGGAGTCATGCTCTTCACTGGACCTCTTCATTGTCCCTGGGCCATACATTTTTCATGTTATCTGTGAGGTTGTGGTTTCTGATGGCAGTTGTAGCTTCCTTATCATGCAGCCTGAACTGGCTCTTGAGCCCCTCTTTCATGGAACAATCACAGATGTCAAAGTTTAACATGTCTGCGTGAGAATTCACAGCTTGCAGCCTAAGCCTTCAGCAAATGTATAAACTAATGCTAAGCAGTTAACGCCAGACAGCTGCAGCCCAATAATCCTTAACATTTAAACAGCAATTCCACTCAGATCAGTTTAACTTCTATGGACATTCTTTAGTTTCTCCATTCTCCGGAGTTGACGAAGCAGGAAATTATCACAACCAGATCTTTCCCATGTTCAGTATTGTTAATCCTACATAAAGAATGACACAGACATTGCAAACAACAGATAATCAGTGCCACCAGGGATATTTTTTGTGGTGGGATTTTTTTTCCCCTCCTTTTTTGCTTATGTCACTACATAAGGAGAGCTGTGATTACAGTAGACTTGCAGAGAACTACTTCACTCTGCAATTCTTGACCTAGCTGGACAGAACTGCGAACAGATCCTTAAGATTAAGTTCAATAAAACTGAAACCAAGAACTATGTAAAACAGGTTTACTCCCAAAGGAAAACCATATGAGAACACAATAGAGGCCCTGTGCTTTGTACCAGCTCATCAGTCACAGGGACAGTCAGTGGCCACTCTCTGTTCACCTTGGGCAACAGGACAGGGCAGAAAAGGCTTCAGTAGAAGGTACTGTGAGAGACAAGCAGAACCTGGAAAAGTCCATGTAAAGGGTGGAGAAAGGAACATGAGGACAGCAGGCTACAGAAAATCCAACTTGATTATCTGGTGTCTCGAGAACTTGTTTCTCTAGAGCTACTTGCCTAGCAGCATTCTGCCTGCTTGATCTTTCATGTGCACAGATATTTCACGAGGACATCACAAGCAAACACCTACCTTCTTTATGTGAGCAGCAATGTCCTTCTCGATGTTGTATTTCTCCAGTGCCTGTGTAGCACACTCCACAGCGTCTTGCTGCATCTCTTCTGACATGTCTGCATTCTTGATCACAGCCTTTCGATCACTCATGATTGCCTACACTGAGCAAAGAAGAAGAGAATTCAGAGTCACAGGGGCTCTGCCTGCCAGGATCACCTACCTGTGAGCACCTACTGTACACACAGGTACCACCATTCCTAGAGGTTTCGGAGCCCGTGCAGTGCCCTCAGCCGTGGCTGGGCAGCATTTCTGCCGGCTGTGGTACAGGTGCAGCCCGTGCTCTGGGCCAGAGGCACAGAAGTTTCAAGCCGCCCAAAGAGTAGCCGCTCTCCAACTGGGAGCCCCACAGACGCCGTCGGAGCGGTTTCAATGCCCGCCGCCCGCCCAGCTCAGCCCTCCGCAGGCCCTCTCCAGCCCGGCAGCGGTCCGGCGCAGGCCAGCAGCCCCGGGAGAGGGCGCAGCCGCTCCAGCGCCCAACCCTAACGGCCTTTCCCTACCGAGAAAGCCGAAAGGATCCCAGGGCTCCCCACCAAGGACCACAGCCCCGCACAGCTCCAAGAAAGCCTCCAGCCTGGAGCTCCCGGGGGTGCGAGAAAGGCTGAAGTAACCCCTCAGCAAAGGCCGGGGCAGCGGTGGTGCCCGATCACCACCTGCTCAGCGTCAGCCGTCCCAGAGACCGGATAAGACGAGGCACGTTTCAGCAGCTGCCCCAGCCCAGCATTCAGGCCCTCACCGCTCGGCCGCTGCCGCGGGACCAGCCCTAGTTGATGGGAGCAAGCAAGGCGCAGAAGAACAGCAAGCTGCTCCCTCCACAGCCGCCTCGGTTTAACCGACCCGCGCGCAACGCCGTCGCCTCCAAGCACCCCTAGCCACACCCCCTCCGTAAGAGGAGACAGCCATTGGTCACTGCTACCACCCCCCCGAGCGCTTATTGGCCAACACCTGGTGCTCTCGTAGCATTTTACTGCAGCAGTTTGTTTCAGACCGGCATGCTTTGCGCCTGCACCTGTTCCCATAGCGACGGGTGGCGGCAGAGATGGAGGCCGAGCCCTGGGTTGGGTTGGGGCGCGGCCTAGGGCGGCTCCGCAGCCTGGCGTCGGGGGAGCGCGGGGCTTGGTGCGGCCGCAGCGCGCTGCTGGCGGGTGTGCGTGAGATAGCCGCATTCCCGCGGTGCGCGGCCTCGGCGTGGCCTTCGCCTCTTTGTCCTCATGGCTGGGCTGCCTGAACGTGCCTGCTTGCAGGCGTTTGTGCAGCAGTCTGTGACTGCAACATGAGAGAGGCTCTCCCGGTCGCTTCTCTGGTAGGCAAAGATCATCTCTCCCTAAAGCTGAGGCAGACAAAAGAATCCCAAGCAAAACAGGTCCAAAAAACATGTGATGCTTTGCGAGGCATCTAACTAAAAAAAAAAATATAGGGCAAAGTAGCAAAATCAGAATTTCACTGTTTGCTCAATTCTGCATAAAAAACATGAGAAAATCGGGGTAGGAGCCGGTGAGGGCGTTACTGGCCCCACATCGTGGTAGGGGAGATGGCTCCACGTCGGGGAGTGCAGGCTCAGGTCTCACCTCAACCTGTTACGAGGAAGGGTTATAGGACTTGTGTCTACAAAGCTGAGGTAATTCCTGAGTGATTCAAATAATGTGGTAAGCGGAGTAGCTTTTTTTGGGGGGAAAAAGGCAGAAAAGGTCCCACATTTGTACTAATGTCCCTAACAGGAATCAGAGGCAACTCCTCCCCCTCATGGGAACCCGCAGACCAACCGTCCCACCTCCTCCCGATGAGGTCTTTGAGCCAGAAAACTGCAGAACTAAAAATCTAAAGAGATTAGCACAAAACTACTTGCAAAATTACTCAAATCCGGTGTATGGAGTGCCTCGGGTTTGGTTTTTAACCCTGTCAGGTACATTCCCCCAGCACATAACCAGTTGGCAGCACCGGGGTGTTCGGGGCCGGACCCCGCGTCCTCTCAGGCTGTGGAGAACCCACAGCTCCCGCCGAAGCCGGCAGAGTCTCGGTGCAAACACCCAGTGCGGATGCGGAGCACCCCGTCCGCGTTCCTAGAGCCGGGTACGGAGGCAGCCGCGGCCGCGCCCCGCGCCGGAGCCGCTGAGGGAGGTGGGCGGGTCGTGCCCTTGCAAGATGGCGGCGGCGGCGCTGTGCCCGTGCCGGGCCGTGCTCGCCCTCCGCGGCGGGGTTCTGCGGGCCCTCAGCGGCTCCGTGCGGGGCCTGGCCGCGGGGACACAGACACACTTTGGCTTCCAGACCGTGACGGAGGAGGAGAGGAGGGAGAAAAGTGAGGGCAGCGGCGGGGTCCGCTGCCGGGGAGGGCGAGCTGGGCCGGGTGGGAACCTAACGGGGCTCCCTGCAGCCGGCGCGTAGGGGCTGTGGGGATAAAGGGTGCTGGAGTGGTTGGTTTGAGACGTTACTGGGAGCCGCAGGGCATAATAGCGCTACGCTAGCTTCATTCCTCCTCTCAGCTCTGGAGGTGTTACGGGAGAAGGCTGCATTTCTCCAAAGGTGTGTGTCAGGCAGCAGGCTTAGTACAGTTCGATTGTGTTTTTTGTAAGGAGTTTTCGGGTGGTATTCTTCAGTTCCATATGTTGACAGACCTTCACGAGGCAATAATTGTCCTTTTGCTTCTAGAGGAGCATTTTTAAGTGAATCACATCTCATTCTCCTGTTCTTTCTTTGCAGTTAACCAGGTCTTTGAAAGTGTGGCCAAGAAATACGATGTAATGAATGATTCAATGACTTTAGGGATTCATCGAGTGTGGAAGGACATCTTCGTGCATAAAATGAACCCTTCCCCAGGAACACTTCTTCTTGATGTTGCTGGAGGAACAGGTAAATGATTTTGGTGAGTTCCACATGACAATGCCATTCTAGTTTTGAACTGTTTGAGCCTGCTCAGAATTAAGTTGCCTGCACTTTTCCTCAGTCCTGTGTCTTTGAAACTAGTGAAGCATCTACTTGCTTTTCAGAGAAAGGTTGAGAGCTAACTCTTTTGTGGTTTGGAATATCTTGCTCCGAGGCTCTGAAAGTGTTACAGTCCTACCATGATGTGTTATGGAAAGCTGTTTACGTTTGTAGGAAGTCACAGACTCTGCTTTTAATATGTTCCCTTTACGTATATATACACACACACTCTCTGGCTCTCCGTACTGTATGTGTGGGTTTTACTTTTATTTATATGCATATATATAAATAAAAATGAACTCAGTTTGGTGTTCAAAGCCTCATGTTCCAATTTCCTGCAGTCAGAAAACATTCCCAAACATATCTCTTTCTATTCAAACAACTGCAGGTGACATTGCCTTTCGCTTCATTAATTACGTTCGCTCTGCACGGGAACGGCAGCTCCAGCGGAAGCTGAGGCACCATCAGAACTTATCGTGGCAGGAAATTTCTGAGAGTTACCAGGAAGAGCAGTTTAAACCACTGGGGGATTCCCAAGTGGTGGTCTGTGACATTAACAAAGAGATGTTAAAAGTTGGGAAGCAGAAAGCACAGTATCTTGGCTACTCTGAAGGTGAGTCATGCGTTGTACCGTGTCAGTAGCGTGCTTGATGCATGGTAGCCATTGGGTAATCACCCCCTTCAGGATCACAATATACGTTGTGTGGCCATGGTGTATACTGTACCTGTACTTTTGCCAACGTTGAATGACCTTTTTTCAGTGAGCATGTAGTACATTGTTCAGATGTACAGTGATCCTATTGAATAATACTTGAACTTTCAAAAATACATGTATGGGAGTGTCCGTGAGGTCTGATACCCAGCTGTCCTTCAAAATTGGTTGAAGCTAAAGCTGCTGTTTATATCTGTGCTAATAAATCTGATTTTACTAAGGCAGGTAATGCAAAAGAGCTCAGGCCTACAATGATTACACTAAAGATCTTATAATGGGTATTTTAAGAATGAAGGCAACAAAAATGCAAGAACTAAGGGATATTGTAAACATATAAAACCTTCCACAGTTAGAGCATATGCTAAAAACACTCAGAGCAACTGCATTTGAAATTAAATTTGAATGTCTCCTGGCAATAACTGTGGTTTTTCTGTTGTGTTTTGCTCTCCTCCATGGTCACTTTCTGGCATCCTGCCCTTTGAAACTGCTGACCTCTGCTGCAGAAAGCTTTTGGTTTGTTGTTTTTTTTTTCCTGCAGTTTTTTGTTTGTTTGTTTTGTTTTGTTTTGAATTTGAGTCACCAAAACCAATGACTTTAAGAACTATTAACTATAAACTGTACCAATTAACTATAAAATGTACCAATAACCTGGACATGCACAGACAGACGTGGCCTTGATCCACTGGGGATTGGGAAGCAGCAACAGGACACTGGCAACAGGATCACATGCCGATAGTGCTGATGAAGGAAGCGTGGCTTTTCATGTGCTTCTGTCTAGGGAAGCTTTCTAGCAAAATGTTTTTAATGTGTTGGCCATTGTTGCATGGCAAGATATTAATTATTGTTTGAGCAGAGATTCTCTTTCTGTACCTTTACTACAAACAGATGGCAGCCAGTGTCTGCAAGGCTGGTTGCTTTCCACTGCAATGCAAGATTTGGGTGAAATCCTTTTGGCGCACTGCGAGCACATGTATACACAGAAGAATGTTTTGGCTAATCTGCAAAATTGAGTACTTTGGCTTGAAAGACAGCTATAGAGTACAGGGCTTTGAAAGATTTGTGAGGCTAGACCAAGGTGTCTTTCCTCCAACAAAAATGTAAAATTGAAACCTTAGCTTTAAATATCACCTTTTTAATAACCTGGAATAGGTAAGTTCTGGTCTTTCTGGAGCAGCCTGAATTCAATTCTGTGTCCTTGTCTTTTACTACAGGCTTATCCTGGGTACTTGGGAATGCTGAAGAGTTGCCCTTTGATGATGATAAGTTTGATGTTTACACAATTGCCTTTGGAATCCGAAATGTAACTCGTATTGATTTGGTAAGTTGCTGTAGTGTATCCTAACATGGTGTCCTTATAATTCATCTGAGTTTTTTATTCTAGCAGAAGTAGTAAAGGAGGAGCTCCTTTGGATAAAGGAGCATTGTTGTCTAGTCCTGAAACATTTAAAATAAGTGGCATGTAGTGTGCAACTTGTTCAAATGGAAAATGCAATTAAATGCTCCACCTTTGTCATAAAAAGTTAGATTTATACCAGTTGCACCCAATCCTTCCAGCTTGGCAAGCCACACAGTCTCTTCCTAAGGCAAAAAATGGCTGAATGTTAACAGTCATTCCCCACCTTCTCCTGACCTATGATGTGTCTGGATCTACACATGCCTGGTGTAGTCAGCCTGCATATCTGAAAGGTTCCTGAACACCTGATCTATATCTCACCCGCAGTGGGTCCAAAACTTCCTGCCTTGTTCTGTTTCCCCGCCTGAGCCAGCAGAACTTCTAGAGCAGAGAGTGGAAAGCAGCTGGCTGCTGCCACCACTGCCATTGACTAACCTGTTCAGTTTATTTCTGCTTAGTGTCTTCACACTGGCTGATAGTAGTGTTCCCCATAAAGAATGAGTATGAGTTTAATTAGGGTAAGTAATACTCTTTGTTCTAAACAGTATCTGTCCTTCAAGAATGAATAGCTGTCTTGGGAAGAAGATAGGTTAGATCGCCTGTCTATCTGGACTTGTCTGTGTCTTGGAGGAGTGTGTTACAAACTTGTCGGTGCTTCTTCTGTGGAAGGTGTAGTATTTGTATGCCTTTGAACTTCCTTCCTTAATGTGGATAGCTTTTCACAAAGCTATGTCTGCACCCTTCCGAAGCACAAGCCCTTTGCCTTCATGGATACAGCAGGCTGATAGCGTAGTTCCCAGGAGACCAGGTACAAAACACATCCAAGCCTCCAATTCTCTTGCAGAGCTCCTGTCACATATGTGTACT